GTTGGCGAAAGTCAGTAGTTTGATTGGACTACAGTTTGGATTGACCACAATGTAAAAGTAAATCGCATCTCGAAATACGTAGGATCCCAATAACTGGACACCGGTCGCCCCCCCCCCAAAAAAAAAAAACTGTGTTCTTCACAAAATACCCCAATATCATGTGGATTAAAGTTGAACCGAGTGGCTAGATTGAGTATACTGGCGAAATCGCACCACTCAATAAATCTTGGATGGACTATTTTGTTAGATACGCATGTATCCACTAGCCTCCGAAAGCCGCAGTATGATCGAGGGTGCGTTGCGGCTGATCACCCTTCCCTTGCGCCTCGCGAAATGCTCCCGTACGACCAAGCGTCACGAACAGCCTCTGCTGAGGAAGACCTACTCACAGCATTTGCGTGATGGAGGTCTCCCACCAAAGTGAGGACGAAAAGCCGACATCCGGGTCTATACCTAGGTTGGTGGACCATTTGCATTTCACCTAAGGAAGTTGGCCAAAAACCCTGATTCCAAACCAATCAAGAAGAGAAGTCCGAACCCCACCCACGCCTTTTCGGTTGTGATAGTGGTCACCGGCTCGGTTGCTCATCAAGGTGTATTGGGCACCTTGGACGTTTGACCCCGTCCAAAGGGCGTATGATCCGATGAAATGGACACCGACCCCAATGGATTGCGGTTTTCAGACACCGCCCCGCTGCCTTGCGGGTCAGGCTTTGGTCAACCAAAGGCTCCGTTTGCGGATTCCCCAAGAAAATTCACCTGCCTTGGCCTGGGTGACGTGGTAGTATTCAGCCCATATGCATATCATGGAGCGCTTTTTCTTTTTTATAAAGATTATTGCACCATAATTTGTTTGGCACAAAGTCTGGGGTCAGAAGCGTGTGAAATATAAATATATATGCATCTAATATGAATTGTTGGACAAACAGTATAACACTTTTCCAACCTACCCCGAAAACTGTGCGAAACAAGCTCCACATGAATCCTCGAAATAACGATACGAGTTCACTATAGTTACAATTCAACAAAAGAGAAGAAATATATCACACGACGGAGCCCAGAGTGTGCCAAAGAAATCATAGGTCAATAACCTTTATAGCAAAGAAACAGGTTCATGATTTGCTATGGCAGCGGTGGAACCGAGTCCTTCTCCTCCAACCCCATTGGTTTCTCACCAAAAGAAAGTTGTGCAGGAACGAATTCGCTCGAAAACTAAACTTTGTCGGAGCACGCTGACCATGGAGAAGGATATGTACTAGACGATACACACACACATACGATCTCTCAGACCAAAAAATATATATACCAAGGTCGAGTGTTTGGTTACGCATCCAATTTCTCCAATTACTCAATGGGATTCACTTAGAGCATTGGATGTTCAAAATAAACAGATGATCACTGAGCTTCCCGACTTGGTCTCTTCAATCAGTCGGATAACTAGTGTATATCTCGCCGGGGTCAGAGAACCCAGTCCAAATCAGGCACACTAACACGCAATATGATAGGCGATCGGGAACTCGATCACAACACGTGTAAGGGTCTGTTCACTGATCAGCCGCTTACACGCATTACACAATTCGGACCCTCACTTAAAGTTAGCCCGCACTAGGTCATATAACATGCATAAGACTTATTTACGTGCCAAAAAGGGTTGGCGAAGCTCTTGAGGTCATTGCAAATGTTCGAATATGATTAGGTAGTGCTTTATGTCAAACCTCAGCCCCACAAAACTTACATATATTTTATCATTTTTTAAACACATGGTCTGGTTACGCCGACAGGATAAGAGCTATTTTTCAATTTACATAATATATTAGATCATACTATGCAGATAGATTTATTACAGACCAGTGCAGTCAAAAAGCGTACTCACCACACGATCGACGCACGGTTGGTAGAAATGATCTTTTCCTCCTGGTTGATCGATCACCCATTTCAAACGGGTCACATGAAAAGCGTGGTGTATAAAGTGGTTTTTCTTAAAGGTGGCACAGAACATATTCCAAGAAACACTTGATGTAGGCTGAATTCATGAACAAAATATGCCACAATTTATATGGCTATTCGCAAAATGAAGAATGGATTAGTTCTATCAGTAAACAGAGGTTACTATTGTGATAGAAGATCGTACAAAGAGAGTCCCGGTTAGCGAATGCATCAAGAATAGGGCCTATCCGACCAGATGTGCAGACGTATCGGCTAGAAGTACTTCGCTAGACAGTGTCGACTACCATTCTAAACGAACGAATGGACAGCCCGATGGACAATCCGCATCTAGCCAGAAAGATATCCACCAACTACCGCAACGTCGTAGCTGTCCATCAATGCATCTCGCACTACGATCGGGTCAAACCAGTCGGAACGGTACGCGGAGCAGAGGTAACATGCGTGCCAAATGCGGACCAAAACCAATAGGGATCAGTTAAAGGAGGAAGGGAGTTGAAATTCAGCAGGGAGACAATATCCCCCTATTTACGCCGTAAGCGAGACCAGTCAACGGAGGATCATTAAACATTGAATAAGTACTGTGGTTCCTGGGAACAGAAACGTCTCAACGAGAAATGCTTGCACTCGTGACTGAACTATGAGCGTTTATGACCACAAATACATCCGGGTGACTCCCGGGATCACACTGTGATAGTGTTTATTCACTGGGAGTGCGCTATCCAGGGTACATATCGGACAGTAAATTTTGACCCATTATACGGTTGCATCAGGAATTCTCGTATACCAAGTTGTCAGTCTCTGTGGCAGACAACCAACAGTTAAAAATTACAGATCATTAAAGTAGAGTTTTACTTGGCCTGAACTCAGCACTGGTGCACAGGCACTTATACACACAGTTTCCCTCTGTTCCGTGCACGCGCGTACGCCTCAATGCGTTGAATGCAATGTAGATAGCAGTGAAATGTTCTGGGAGAGAGACTGGTTGACGTGATTGATACAGCCAAGCAATAATGCACCAGAGCTTGACCTAACCTATAAAGAACTCTGCGCGAATGATCGGTGACTTTTAATTACTGATTGCTTGCAGCATTGAAACTGAGAATTCGACTTGGACGGGTTGAGAATCTGATTATTTGGTGTGGGAGAATTCCTGATGCACATGTATGGGATCTTGTTTATCGAGCTGAACAGTGCGTCATTGTGGCTGAGTAGAGGTTCGGCAATGTGAAGTGCGCAACGAGTTCCCTACAGCAAAGAATAAAAAGGACTGAATGAAGAAGCAGTATACAGGGCCAAACACTGTATTTGTCCAACGGTAAAGAACTGTAAATGGTAATTTCCAAAAAGATACTGGTAAAAATTTGTCAAAGTTGCTAAATATTTGTTGATTTACACTGATTGTCCTTTGGACTTCACCTTCACGCACAATCCTTAGTTCATCAATTCAACCATACACTCGGAAGCACTAGACTCGAGTTTCACTCCAATTAAAGCATGAAACGAGTGTGCCATACCGCTGTGCCAACCAGCTCACCATGGTGGAACCAAATTGCCAATTCATGTTTGTGCAAGTGTCGTCTTCAGTGATAATCAGTTCATTTGGTCCGACAGTAACGAAAGGAGATAGACGACAATCTGTCAACTGTAATCGAAAGCCTCCCACCAAGTCGGGAATTCCATGCGGGTTACGGGCTGATTCACCAGCGAACCTGCAAGGCTGAATTGATATTTCGCATTTGACTCATATTTACTTGTCCCATGACACTAAATCTTCTTTGAATGATAAAAATGCACGTTGAATTCGACCTTTCTTGCCGTATTCTAATCATTCCGGGTAATTTCTCACAAGAGGAATGCTCCAAACGGATTATATGATCTACTATTTATTGTGTCCGCGGTTAACTGTATTCGTCATACGTGGAATCACATTAGATAGTGATGGTAGTGGTGATGATCTTAGGATTACTTTCTACAAACTGTTTGGGTGAATTCCTTGGTAAAATATAGCGAAACCAACATCGGTTCTAATCATAGAGCCATATGACATAGCAATGGAAACAAATATCCGTAACTTTTATAGTAGTTCACATCACATTCCGTGTTGACCGGTTTATAAAGGGGTTGTCAATATACTGCTTGTAAACAAGCTACGTGAACC